GAACTTCATCTTGGACCCCAGGATGTCAGTACGAGTTTCCAGGGCACCTTCTAATATCTTTGCGACCAACGTTAGGAAGACAGTTGTTGCTGTTGCCAGACCAACAATTGGCGTTCTTCCCGACTTTGGTTCTCATGCTAGAATCAAGCAGAAGGATGCTGGAAAATCGTCTAGACACCGAAACAACAATAGGTTCTGCCCTTACCGTTTGTAAGTATTAAATAATATATAATTATATTATTAATTATAATTATATGATTATTATAATGAAAAAATTGAAAAAAGAAATGTTTTTACAAGTCGACAAATTCTAATATAGATGTTCTGGCGTGTTTATCCCTCGTTTATCATTAACAAAATTTTCATTTGAATTAAAGGTCTAGTTAAGCACCATCGGTACTTTTTATTACTTTGACGTTGACAAAAACTCTGCTTTTCGTTGCCAGAGTTTGGTTTTGATTTTTATATCGCTTGAACACCATAAAATACAGTTATATTAACTCAGCGGCGGCTCGTGGCAACATACATGGTGAATCAGAACTTATCCAAAACAAATTTTTTGAATGTACAGGGGACTCTTACAAATACGATTTTGTAAAAGGAACAAAAAAGGGCAGTTTGAAAATGATTTTAAAATACCCTTCTGCACGGCACTGGGAACTAGTCCACTGTAAAATCAGGCCTTACGCAGGCAGCATGCAGTAGGCGACCAGCACGGCGGCAAAGTGTAATAAAAATTGAACGGACAAAAAATTGAAATATTTAAAATTTTATAACACCTACTTTATATCAGCAAATTCAATTGCTTTTGCCGTTATTGTTATTATTAATTAATTTGTGGTTTTATTTAATAAAATAATTTGAAGTACATGATGTAATAGCAACTGTTCAAAATTTACGGACGTGTAAACACATTTCAGCCCGACTTACCCAGTTTCTAAGAACTAACACAAATGTTGTCTTGCTTCACCTTAACACAAATGCTTCAGTAAAACACAAATATTGTCTTGCTTCACCATCAATTAAAACGATATCCATCAACTCGAGTTGATGTACACGTAAGCTATTTTTGAAGCTTGAAAAACTAATGTAAACACTATCGCAAAACGTTAATCCGTCTAGTCCCAATTTTTTTTTGGATAAATTGTGATCACCTTGTATATTGGGTCGGCAGACCACCGAGCGTAGATTTGTAAAAATCAGTTGATTTCGTTAAATAAAGCTATTATTTATAACACTTTTAATATTTCACTATTTTCATCTTACTTACATCCATTCTTTTCAATTATAAATTATTATTTAATTATAAATGTATTTCATTGTAATTTTAAATGTTCAACCTAAAATCTACGCGTAGCTTTTAGATGTATGAACACATACATACACGAACACATGTAGTTGTATGTATGTATGTATGTATGTATGTATGTATGTATGTATGTATGTATGTATGTATGTATGTATGTATGTATGTATGTATGTATGTATGTATGTATGTATGTATGTATGTATGTATGTATGTATGTATGTATGTATGTATGTATGTATGTATGTATGTAGTGTATGTACAGGGTGTCCAAAAGTTCGCGTCTCAGGCCCATAACAGACAAACGAAAAACCTCTCGAAAAACATTTTTCAAAATTCGGAAAATAAAAAAAATGGCGCCATAAACTTGTTTTTCCACGATGAAAATATATTTTCGTTAGCACGCAAAATTCATTCCAATATGGCAAATATTTTTGGGTTAACAGATTGACGCTCTGGATATCTCTCATGATATAAGTTAGCAGCTTTTCTGACATTTTTTTGACATTCACCATATATTAAAATCACGTCAACTTTTTCATTGTTTGTGAACATTTTTTAATTTTTAGCAACCACTTACTAGTTTGTTTATCATGCAAGAAATAGCATTTGACAGAAACTAATATGTAAACAGACTTATGACAGCAGTTTCAGCCATTGTTTTCACAGCAATGTTGATTAAATCATGCCTAATTCCAATACAATAGGATACATTTTTGTATAATGTTTGTTATTTTAATTGTTTAAGGAGAAGAGATAGAAAAACATTTTTGCACAAAAAAAGTTGATGACATTTTTTTATTTTCCGAATTTTGAAAAAACGTTTTTCAAGTGCAAAATGGACCTTAGCGAGTCCGGATTCACGCCATCTAAACAGATTTTTACTGTCGTTTTTCGTTTGTCTGTTATGGGCCCGAGACGCGAACTTAGGGACACCCTGTACACCTGTACATACTTTTGATATCTTGCGTGCAAATGTATATTCATAATAACCAAATTTTCTGAAGTAATAATTAATCCTAAATGATAAGACGGTATTAAGTGAATCAAGTATAATATCTTATAGAAAATTTATTTTAATATATTTATCCCTTATCCCATTTGAGTTAGATTATTCTTTAACTGATAAATCATTACTTGCTAAGGACAACGCTCACTGGAGCGCTACGGTTCCGCTCCCAAGACGACCACTGGAGCGTCACGTCACGCTCATTGCACATACAGTCCCTTTTGAGGTATAAAAGGGCCAGAAACTCCTCAGTTTGACATGTACCATCTCCAGTGACTGAAGAAAATGTCTCGCCTGCTGCCAGTTGTTGACAACGCTCTACCGTTCCTGCCCATTGAAATTTGGATAATAATATTGAGGTATGTTTTTAACTGTGTTTTATTTTGAATTTGTTTTAATATTGTTTTTTTATTACAGGTTATTGGATCCTAAATCTCTCTTGGCGGGAATCAGGACTTACAGCCTTTGGATGACGATCTCCCAAGGCGACCCAGTCTTAAGAAAGACGCTCCGTCGTGCTGTTAAAGAAGAGGAGACGATGGTGAGGAACTTCATCTTGTACCCCAAGATGTCAGTACGAGTTTCCAGGACACCTTCTAGTATCTTTGCGACCAATGTTAGGAAGACAGTTGTTGCTGTTGCCAGACCAACAATTGGTGTTCTTCCTAACTTTACTTCCCACGCTAAGGACAAGCAGAAGGATGTTGGAAAATCTTCTAGACGCCATGGCAACAATAGGTTTTGCCCTTATCGTTTGTAAGTATAAAATAATATATGATAATACACAATACAATTATATGAAGATTATTGATATACTAGTAATATGTACAAATTGACTAAATCTAAAATAGATGTTCTTGTGATTTAATATTTGACTTATAGCTGACAATATTTAAATACACATTAAATGACCAATATTTATAGGTAGGTACGATGTAGGTACGACAACTTACCTTGGCAATATTTCTTTGGCTAAATTAAATTTTTTGTCACTAGCTTCTATAAATTTGTAGCAATAGTCAAAGACGTCCTGATTAGAACTTGGATACAGGGAGTAACTTCGCCACGGGTCCCATCATCCCACAAAAACAAAAATTTATTCCTTTTAAATAACATAAACTATGAAATAGTACCTAACAAGTAATATCACGATAAATGAAATACACAAAAATAAGTAAATAATCCGTATTCACCTAATTTTTACAGCATATGACATACTTGAAGTCTTGTGGCTAACACAACTCCACAAAAAAATCGAGAGAATTACCCCTGGAGTCTGACTATGTCTGTCACATGTTTTCGGGGTCGCTGAATCCAAATTCGGGGTCCATTTAACCCCATCACGTCAGGATTTTTCATAACCTCAAACAATAGGCCGAAAAACGCAATAAATCCTCTATCCATTGACCACTCAATCCCATTAACCCCTTAACCCTTTAATCCCTTAAATACTTAAACCCCAAAATCCCAGAACCCGGTAAGAAAGAGACTTTCATTCCGGGTTCTAAGTTTCTAACCCTCTGATTTTGTTTCCTTCCAACATTAGGATACTGACGTTCAAAGTTCCCATAATCTTAAATATTAAATCAATCTTACGAACATTTTCTTATTAAAGTAAAAATGTAACAAAATGAGGCGGTTTCGCCGACTTACAGTGGCAGTTTGTTTTTATTACTCATTTACCATCCCATCATATCATACCAGGTGTGAACTCAACTGGCCGTAGCGGCAATACGGCATTTTAACTGAAGGTTAATCTCCCTTGCCCTTCGTAAGCGTTCGGAACAGAATTGGATTCTGCTTAAATTTAAACTGTTAATTTTGTTGGCGTTTTGTTTATTTTGGATTCATTTAATCATCTAGCTTCGATTGGCTGCTAAAATGGCTATATAAGAGCAAAGTGTAAAAACCCTATTTTGTAACTTTTTAATATTAATTTAATTTTACTACAGCTTTTAATAACATTTCAACAAATAAAAGAGCAGACAAAGAATAATAAATTAATTTATTACAATATCAACAATAAAAATTATTTCGACACAAATATATTAACAAAATCGAAAATCTATACACATTTGGTAATAATACCTACAGAAGAATAGTATAATATCCATCAATATTATACAAGAAAAAAATAATACAAATCCCAAAGTCTACATTGACTATCAATATTTTAATTATTTATAGAAATCAATAATTATCATATTCACGTATTATAGACTATTGCTGCCTTATAAACTGAAAATAATAAATAAATGAGAACTTGTTCAACACGGACATTTAAAAAAATGTTAAAATAAATAGAAAAATTTCATTAAAAAGTATGCTATGCATTAAAAAGGTTTATACAATAAAAACGAAGTGCTAGGAATATAAATCCGTGTTATATAAATAAAGATAAAATGCTATGCCACTGGATTTTACGAGAAAATTTCGGAAAAATCTAAGATCATATTCGATGCAAAGTAGAGCAAACGCGTAAGATGAACCATTTCAAATTAATGAATGTAAAATCTGAAATACCGCATCATACGCATTGTGTTCTGGTAGTAGCTGTAGTCGTCCATGTGCATCGAGTGTACGAAATGGTCGGTTATACGTCAAATACTAACCTGGCGAGCTTGGTCGTAAATCAAAGACCGCCTCCATAACATGCATAAAGAAATTATTAAATTTCTAAACCACTTAAAACCGTACTGCACTGGATCCCTTGACAGGTAATGATTTATTACTTTGCATCGAATATGATCCTACTATATACTGAAAAACAAATTATGGAACAATTGAATTAAACTAATAGATTAAAAGAAGAGGTTGCGCAATCCAATCTATTCATCAACCGAGGCTGTGTATACAGTGTGTTAGAATCTGGCTGTCATATTTTCAATAGACGACAGTATACATCAAAATAAGCAAAAAATAAAAGAAGGCTGTTTGAATTACTGAGTTATCCTCCTAACACTCAGTATAAGAAAATATCCGTGTTGAACACGAAATTCCTAAAATGAATACAACGGCTCCACTCGGATATACAAAAAATAACCTTAATTAAAATACATTTAAGACTTAGTTAGATTGAGCTGAAAGTCACAAGGAGAAATAGTTCGAAATGCCCTTATTTTTATTCCTATGTAAACATCTTTCAATATCATTCTCTCACAGGTACATAGAACTTTCAAGTGCTAACATCCAAGGTCTCCTGTTTCTCGATAATTATACTTAATATTAATACAGAAACCTCGTATAAATAGCGCTGATTTAATTGATTAACGGATATATTCCGCGTGTACGGTTTACTTTCCATTCTGCAGCATAAAATTATATAATTTAGTATTTATTCTGTTACAGTTACGAACGTAAGTGGTCGGGAGAAGAAACAACCACTTTCTCGAACAGTTTCGAGAACAGCGATTGGAGGAACGACAAAGCAAATGTTTACAAGTTAAAATAAAAACCACACAACGCCAACTAGACCCCTTGCAACTATATAAATAAAAGGTTAAAAAGTCTATTTTTCACGGGCGATATCAGTCTTTGTCCTTGGTTTTCGGGGTGGTCGACGTACTGTCCTTTTTATAAGCTGAGAAAAAGGTGAGAGCCTTCATGAGTTGGTAGCTCTTCGAAATTGGGATGTTGGAGTCGTATAACTTTTTCGAGTTCTTACAGTCCACGTAGAACCACCAGTTGCACTTCAGAATCGTCTGGTCGAACAATGTGGATTCCGGACACAGGAAGCTTTTCATGATAAGGCCGTCGTCGGTCAGAGCGCAAACATGGAAAACCTGAAAACATAGTAGTATAGCGATAGATGATAGAAAATAATAGTTTATGTAACAAAATTTCATTTTACGCGCTACTCTCTAATTTCGTTTTGCACGCTAGTGCCCAACACTAGAACGTACAATTCCATGTTACGCACTAATGCCTATCACAACAGCGTTAAGCTTCATTTTCCACGGTAATGCGTAACAGCGGACCGTAAATCTTCAATTTACACACTTATGCACAATACTAAAGTTTGAATTTAATTTTTTGCGTCAATGTCTAACATTAGATGCCTAGCACTAGAGTCTAAAACTTCGTTTTACGTATTAATACCTAATACTAGAGCGTATAATTTCATTTTACGCGCTAATGCCTAACACTAGAGTCTAAAATTTCGTTTTACATGCTAATAGAGCGTTAAATTTTATTTTACGCACTAATGCTTAACATTAGACCACCAAATTTCGTTTCACGCCTTGATGCCTAGCACTAGAGTCTAAAATTATGTTTTACGTATTAATGCCTAATACTAGAGCGTATAATTTCATTTTACGCACTAATGCCTAGCACTAGAGTCTAAAATTTCGTTTTACATGCTAATAGAGCGTTAAATTTTATTTTACGCACTAATGCTTAACATTAGACCACCAAATTTCGTTTTACGCATTATCCCTAGCACTAGAGTCTAAAATTTCGTTTTACGCATTAATGCCTAATACTAGAGCGTTTTGTAAGTTAACGCTAACACTAGAGCCTTAAATTTAATTTTACACAATAATGCCCAAATTAAATATCATTTTATGTCCTACTGCATAATTTATTTTTTCGGGTTAATGCCTAACACTAGCTTAAAATTTGCCTAAACAGAGCGTTAGTACCTGACACTAAAGCGTTATATTTCATTCTGTATGTTAATGCCTAATACTAGAGCGTAATTTTTTTGACACCAAAATGCGAGTTAACGCTAATACTAAAGCGTTAAATTTCATTTTACACGGTACTAGAGCGCAAAAATTCAAATTATACGCTAATGCCCAACACTAAAGTGATAAATTTGATTTTGCGAAGTAATGCTTAACACTAGAACTTAAAATTTCGTTTTATACGCTAGTGCCTAACACTAGAGCGTTAACTTTCATATTACCCACCTAATAAGAGAGAGCCAAATTCCGTTTTGCGAGTTAGTGCCTCACATTAGAGGGTAAAATTTCATTTTACGCACCAATGTTGAACACTAAAGCTTTAAATGCCTAAGGCTAGGTGTAAAATTTCATTTTATGTGCTAATGCCTAACACTAGCGCATACAATTGCAATTTACATACTTATGCCTAATACTAAATTTCATTTTGTACGTCAACGCCTTACATGAGATCCTAAAATTTCGGGTTGCGTGCACTAGAGCGTATAATTTCATTTTATGCACTAATGCTTAAGAGAGATTTTCATTTCGTTTTAAGAGTTAATGCCTAACACTCGAACGTTAAATTTAATTTTACACACTAGTGCTTAAGACTAGAACGTTAAATTCCGTTTTGTACGTTAATGCCTAATACTTGGGCGTAAAATTTCATTTTACGCACTAATGCCTAACACTAAGCCTAGACACTAGTGCGTAAAATTTCATTTTTCCCACTAATAGCCAACAAGAGAGGGTTAAATTCCGTTTTGCGAATTAACGCCTAACACTAGAAATAATCTCTGATATAAGATTTTTAAAATAAATAGTATATCTATTAAATATCCTGCAACTAACACGAAATAAAGATATGAAATTTCGCATATATTTTTTCTAGTTCACTTCTGCATTAATTTCTATATTTCTAAGGCTTAAAAGTCTACCCAACCTTATGGATTACCGAGTTGGTTTCAGTAAATAAGTTCTGTCTTATAAATCACCAACAACTAAGTTGAATCACCTAGTATATTTACAATTTTGAATGTACAAACATTAGGAAGTGAGACACATGGCGTAAAATGTGTTGTATTGCTTAAACATATGTATAAGGAAGCTTATATAATAAATAATTAGCAATAGAATATGCAAAATGTCCAAAATAATGAGAAAATATGATGTTTCCGATCTCTTCGCTAATAAACTTTCGAAACCGCGAAGAAATGTTGCATGGCTTCGTAATTAAACAACGCAGCGGAGCGAATTTTAAATTTTAATGAAATCGCAATTAAAAGCGAAAATTAACAAAATCTAGCTGGGAGTTATTTCGCTTGCGCAATTTTCAGAAATGTAGGTCAATATTAATCGACGGCTGATTTGTTACACATTTCAATAAAATATAAACAACATAAAGATTTCTTTAGTTACCTTTGAGAAAAAAATGCGGTATTACCATCTATTACCAACTATTTAATAAATAGTTAACAAACGTATAATTAGATGAGGTGATTATTTAAATATATATTTGTTATACAATACTTCGTTTACATATTCCCAATAACGAATATTGATGCAGAGATTACAGAAAGGTCTTTCATTAATGTAAAAAACGGAACTATGATACAAAAATTCCCAAGCGCGAGAAGATATCTGGGTTATTAAATGAAAAGGTCAGAATTAAAGATCTGAAATAATACTATAGGCGTTTCGAGTTTCGATTCGTATAGACATTCGTTTGCAATAATTATATTGACACTTAAAGTGTGCCATTGTATGAATAACAACTGTTTTTAACGGGCGTGAAAAATTGTTTCTTAAAAAAATATTTGTCCCCATTACAAGTGCTTTGGGCAAATAGAAAATACGCGCATTAGGTAATGGGAAACAATGTATCAATTTTGTAATGTATGATTAGTTACGACATTGTTTTTAAAGATGAGATCCGTATTTTCTGTATCGTTTATCTCTTTAATCTTTGTTAAACTATCTGACCTTTCAGTTATTTTACACTTACAATGTTCCAAAAAGTTTCTTTGAACACGAGTTTTGGTGTCAATTTTATAAAAAAAAGGTTACAGGCAATTTTTTTGTAGCAAACAATCATCAAACTACCTACGCCACTGTAATGCATAAAAAATTGGTAACATTACAGCTATTAAGACTATTGTATATAATTAAAATGTCAAGAAGATACCATAATTTTGTTGTCATACCCAACATCTAAATATATATTTTATTAAATGTAAATGTAACCATCGTAAATAGGCAGGTAGGTACTTAACACTATTAAATACTACTTTTAAAAAATTATGCAACTTATAATTTGATATTAATTCAAGTACTGCACTTGAACTTGAGCAGATTCTAATGCCACTATTTATAAGAGTTATTTTTGTGGTTTATATTATTAGAAAAATAACAATTCAGTTACTTTTTTTTACTACTGTGCATAAAATATTAATTTTACGCATGCTGGACGATATGCAGAATCCAATTTTTCGCACTAGTGTGTAAAGTAAATATTTTATACACTAGTGTACTGACAAGTATACTGTTATTTGATGTCAGCTTGTAGCCATTTTTTAGAAAAATATGTGTGCAGCTAACGACTTTTTCTACCCTTTTCTAAAATATTACGGTACACGGACTCCAGTTTTCGCACGAGTGTGTAAATAGTTTATACACTAGTGTACTGACAGATATGTTGTTTGATGTTAGCTTGTCACGGCCTTTTAAATCGTCAAACTGATTAATAAACGGTAGTATTTTCATAAAATTATTAAGTACTAATGAGTAAAATGATACACTTTGTGCACTAATGCACTTATTTATAATCTAATTTATAACATATACTTTTTATGTTCGCAGAATTTAAAATTTAAATTTATTTCCAATAGTGCTTATCGTTTTAAAGTAATATCTCTGTTTTATTTATTATTAAGTACTAATGCGTAAAATGGAATACTTTGAGCGCTAGTGCACTTATTTATAATTGAATTTATAACATTTACTTTCTTATGGTGGAAAAATATGTGTGCCACTAACAACTGTAATTGCCTTACTATTCTATTAAGTACTAATGTGTAAAATCAAATATTTTGTGCACTAATGCACTTATTTATAATTTAATTTATAACATATATTTTTTTATGGTGCAACTAACGACTTTCTGCCACTGTGCGTAAAATATTAAGTTTAAGCACGCTGTACGGTACGGACAGTTTTTGCACGAGTGTGTAAATAGTTTATACACTAGTGTACTGACAGCTATGTTGTTTGATGTTAGCTTGTCACGGCCTTTTAAATCGTCAAACTGATAAATAAACAGCAATATTTTCATAAAATTATTAAGTACTAATACGTAAAATGAAATACTTTGTACACTAGTGCATTTATTTATAATTTAATTTATAACATATATACTTTCTTATGGTGGAAAAATATGTGTGCTGCTAAAAACTGTAATTGCCTTACTGTTCTATTTAGTATTAAGTACTAATGCGTAAAATGAAATACTTTGTGCACTAGTGCACTTATTTAATTTAATTTATAACATATATTTTTCTGTGGTGGAAAAACATGTGTGCAGCTAACGACTTTTTCTGCCACTGTGCATAAAATAGTAATTATACACACGCTGTATGGTACACGGACTCCAGTTTTCGCACGAGTGTGTAAATAGTTTATACACTAGTATACTGACAGCTATGTTATTTGATGTTAGCTTGTCACGGCCTTGTAAATCGTCAAACCTGATAAATAAACAGCAATATCTTTATAAAATGATTCACTTTGTGCACTAGTGCACTTTTTTATAATTTAATTTATAACATATACTTTCTTATGGTGGGAAAATATATGTGAAGCTAACTTTGTCTGCTACTGTGCGTAAAATATTAATTTTACGCATGCTGTACAGACGCGGAATCCAGTGTTTCGCACTAGTGTGTAAAATAAATAATTTATACACTAGTGTACGGACAAGTATGTTGTTTAAATGTCAGCTTGTACCCACGGCCCTTTAAACCGTCAAATTGACTATTACACAGCAATATATTTATAAAATCGAATTTAAAATTTAAATTTAATTCCAATAGCGCTTATTCTTACTGTTTCTGCAATAGTACACTTATTTAATTTTCAACTTACATTAAATAAATCTGTGTACAACTAGTGTCTAAAGTATCTCTTCGGAGTAGACAAAAGTGATGATATCACCCTGTACATAAAAACACGAAAAACATATACCGAAAATTGTGGGATTTTTCTATAACATCGTAATTTCCTCAATCATTTAAATATTTCGTAAGGCTATTAGTTCTCACTTTTATAAACGGTGCTTGTTAAATTTCTCAAATTTTAGTTGAGTCTGTGTCGAAATTATAGACTATTTAGTGGAGTAAATCTAACGTAACAGCAATTAAATTATATATTATAGTGTCGAAACTAGGATCGCCAAATACATATTCAAATATATGCCGTCATGTTTTAGATTTATATAGCTATTTTATTTTTATTACTGTATTAAAAAGGATTAGGAATTGCTATTTATGAATTTGGGGGTCTATATAATAATGCCTCCACGCCACTGAACTTGTATTGGTAGTAAGTTGAAATAAGTGTCGGAAAAATTTTGACATCACATATCAAACGAAAATGTACGTTACTAATAACTTCAGAGAAAAATGACAGTTACAAAATTAATAGACAAAGTAATACCATGTTAAATTACATCGACATCTGACGTGAAATGTAATTGCAAATAACTGTTTTCACTTATAAAGTTTAGGAGTTAAATTATGTTTAAATTATTAAGTCACGTAAGAAGTGTTGCCACAGTGATAAACGATTTACAAGCCGCAAAAGGCTCGGCTTTTTTCAGGGCAAGTGCCTTGTAGAAATCATTTACAGTTAACATCGAAGAACTCCTGAATTATAAATATAAACATTAAATATTTATACAGTCAATAATCACTTCCAAAATAACAAAGAATTTTGTCTAAAGTTATTGGTTTGTCAATTAGATCTAATTTATTTATACTTAACTGCCAATAGTAATCAATGACTCATTCAACATGAAGAGTGGCCCATTGCGACGAGAAAAGGCGTGCGGGAAATACGATCCCATGGGCGTGTCATTACAGAAGATTTCAAAAATTGTTAAATATAGAACAACAAATATCGATTTTGGTAAAAACCAGATTATCCTTACAAATTTACGCACACCAAAGACTAATACCTAAATTACAGCATTAAATTTCATATTACGCATTAATGCCTAACACTAGAACGTTAAATTTCGTTTTACGCACTAATGTCTAACACTAGAGCGTTAAATTTCGTTAACTGTCTAACATTAAAACTACTGCCTAACATTAGAGTGTTCAGTTTCGTTGTGCGCGTTAGTGCCTAACACTAGAACGTAATATTTCATTTTATTCCCCTAACCTAACACCAGTGCGTTAAATTTCATTTTTTGAGTTAATGCCTGACACGGTAGCGTAAAATTTGCCCAAACTGGAGGGTAAATTTTATTTGCCTAACACCTGAGTGTTACACTTAGTTTTCCGCTTTAATGCCTAACACTAGAGCGTTAAATTTCGTTTTGCGCATAAATGCCTAACACCAGAGCGTAAAATTTCATTTTATGTTACGCACTGAACACAATAGTGCTCATTAGTATCTAACACTAGTGTGTAAAACTTAATTTTACTCACTACTGCCTATCACCAGTGCCTTAAATTTCATTTTGCGCGTTAATGCCTAACACTGTAGCGTAAAATTTGCCTAAACTGCAGGGTAAATTTCATGTTGCGCACTAGTGCCTAATACTAGAACGTTACACTTAGTTTTCCGCTTTAATGCCTAACACTATAGCATTAAATTTGATTTTAAGCACTAATGCCTAGCACTAGAGCATTAAACTTCGCTTTTTACGCACTAAATACTAGCACGTTATATTTCATTTAGCGCATTAAAACCTTATATTGGAACGTAAAATTTTATTTTACGCGATAATGCTTAAGACTAGAGCGTATAACTTAATTTTAATCAATAATGCCTAACACCAGGTTAAATTACGTTTTGTCCGTTAATGTCTGACGCTAGACCGTTAAATTTCATTTTACGAACTAGTGCCTAACACAAGAGCGTTAAATTTCGTTTTGTGAGTTAATGCCTAACACTAGAGCGTAAACGTTCATATCTAGTGTATATCTAAGAATTAATAAAAAATTCGCTTACCATGCATCCGAGGTCTTCATCGGCATACAATCCAGGAAAATGTTTTTGATCCCCGCAATAAAAGGACGTTTCTGGCAGTTCCACCCTTGAAGCAAAATTGTCGTCAAAGTTCTTATCATAGCCCACAGGATAATACTCCTTAGGCGCGTTCATAACTTTACCAACGCTATTGGCATACTTCGAAGTAGATCTATACGTGGTAGTAGTGGTTGTAGTCGTCTTCATCTTCGCCAACATCTGCTGCCTCTGCAGCATCGCCAGTTCCAACATCTCTTCCGTGACGTTGTTGGCAGCTAGAATAGCTTGAATGGAGTTAGAAGAGTGTTGTGGTATGGATGCTGGAAGGTCGTTATTAGGAGTGGGTAGAGTTCTAACGGCGAAGTTAGTACTACTTATTTTATCTTGGCCTTGTACTTGAGTCTTTGGTACTCCTACTACAGCCATCACCTTAGCATCGGAAGGGCTAACTGGAAGGTTACCTACGGAAAAACGAGAGATAGAGGCAGGCATAGCAGAAAAGGCGGGAATAGCAATACCCATTACAGTAGGTTGACTAGAACTAGATTTAGAGATAGTAGGTCGTTCGTCTGCGGGTGGTATGGGTTTGAATGGAGGTATTACAGGGGGGGTTGAAGATGGCGACTTCTTCTTCGACGATTGCACTGATCCAGATGCCAAAGGTGTCACTACTTGCACCGGGACTGCTTCCACCGATGCTACTGGCGATGGTGAGCGCACTGTTAACGAATTAGCCTGGAAAAATGAAAAAATTACTTCATATAGCACACACTTTGACGGAAAGAGAAGAAACAAAGAAATAATATGATGACTATTGGTGGATGATGTTTATTGGGTACTGTTTGTTTCAACAGTACATTTACTACAAGGAATAAAATTAATTGTTTCTTAACTGTCTAAATTATAGTAATATTGGGTAAATGTATTAGTGATTCTACCGGGCAAAATGAAAGGAACAAAACATTTTCATGATTTTCGAAAACACGTTTTTCAAACATTTTTTGATTTTCCTTTACGCCTGTTACAATAACTATTCTTTTTCCAAATCAATCGATCAGTCGACTATTACATATAAAATGACTGCACGTTTATATAGTATTAAATATAATGTAGTAAATATTGCATGCACGTTACGTTTTCCAAGGGCGACTATAATTTACTGCAACGACTGTAGAAAACAATGCAATAAGGAATGTTTGCACATAGTATTTTTATATTTAACTAGTTTATATACTAATTAGCAAGACATCTGCAGTAATTAATTATTTAAATCTTGCTTAGTTGCTGCCGAGGTATCGATAAGGATAAATATACAATGTTAGTTTTTTTATAATTTAAATAAATATCGGACAGAAAGAATAGTAACAATTTGGCTCATTATAAACAAAAAATAAAACACGTTTTGGATAAGCTAGCAAAGTGTGTTTATAGTATTTCAAACTATTTTTCAAACATCCTGTAAAAAATTTAAATTTCATATTTTCATTAGCCATAAAAATAAAATGTATTGTTTTTCAATATAGATTTTTAGACAAAAAAATTTTTCCGCAGGGAGGAACATTTAGCTGTACTTTCAAAGCAATTATTAAGGCAACATATCCTTTATTTATGAAATAATGGATTGTAGCTACATTAAACCTACTAACACAAAATATTATCTGTCATTGTTGTTTACACAACTTAATTAAGCATCCATATTTTATTGCATAAAACGAAGTGGTACTCACAAATTATCTGTTTTGCAATTTGGTTTCAACGCGTTTATGTGCTGTTTGTGTTTGTCAATTATTAGATAGACAAAATGTGTTTTCAATTAATTTATGAGGTTCCTAACGAGAATGGAACTTTTTTCCAATTTATAGTTAGTTTCGCGTTACATAATGTTACTTTTAGTAACATGCATGTCATTCAAGTGTAAAGTAAACATTTTTTCTTGAAAAATATGTGCTAAGTATTGATTAATATTAATAAAATACTAATTTCTCTAGGACATGTCCTTCAATGTTGGTTTTTTAGTCACTTTTTACACGTTTACCTGTTCTACAAAAACTGTACAGTGTAATATTTTATAACAATGTTTACAATATTACTAATCACTAATCAGCTTAAAAACGTTTATACTCAGGATGTTAAAAAGACTGTTATAGTTTTCCAATACAAAAAAACAGCAAAAGAATTTGAAAGGGCACAGAAAATTTAAGAAACATACAAGTGAAGGCTTCTCTGTCTAAAATTATTGAATATAAAGGCATTTTTTAAAATTTTTCTTTTAAACAACTTTTACAGGTGCTCCAGATATTTAGCTGACTTGTATACATCATTTAATTTAATAAAATAAGTAAAAATTGATGGTGGTGGACTTGAAGTAGGTTCCATTAATAACGAAGATGATTGTTTATTACCATCATCGTTTACTGTCATTTTAAAAGAAAAAGTTCCTGAAATTGATAATAAAACATCTGCATACGTTCCAGAAATATTACGCTGCTGTCATAATAAAAAATAGTGGTTAAAATATTTTTTGCTAGCTTTTTATTTATTATTTCATTCTCATAACAAGTTTCAGCCATAATCTTCAAATTGTTAATGCCTTTCCGATTTTTACATCCGCCATATTGGATTCGTCATCTTTTATTCAGGAATTTTCGAATTCGGACTTCATATTCGTAATCAGCGACTCCAAAAACCCGCGGTAACAAAATTCAGGCAAAAAATACTGAATAGAAAAATGTGTGACTTAAAAGTTATATCATATAATTTTTTTATGTTATAAAATACAAGGCTATGGTTTTTCACATTGTTTTGCACTGCATAGCAAAACTTTCTTATTGCTATTTTCTTCAGTGTGTAAAAATTAGTGGAAAATATCGCCCTTGCGCAAATACTCGTACCATGAAACATTGCTCAAGTAAGTTGATACATCTGCTGCCGACTTAACTAAGTTAAGATAGTCTCATTTTGGTCCAAAACCTTATTTCCAAAATTTGACTAAACTGAAATTATACAATTGTCTATTTTCTGTCATTTTTTCCACTTTTTAAACTGTACATATCTATTTTTCATCCTCATTTTTAACGCAATTTTATGCATTTCCGACAAAATAACTAGTAAATCGGATTCGGAACGCCCTGTATAGTCATGTAAACCTTTCATTCCGAACAAGAAACGATTTATACGCAATTACCCTGCCCAAAACAAATGAAACCACCCAAAGCAATTAACGTCGAACAATTCAACATGTCTTGGTAAAAGACGGATGGTGATGACCTTGAAAGTATATGATCACTAGATTTCACGCCACACATTGACTTCTCCCACCCATGCTTGATTGACCGCCCTTCTAATAGCTCAGCATGACTGTCATTTCTTTTATACTAATACCTACATACCGATCACATTTTTATTGTAGTTGTAGAATTGCAGAAAATTCTGGTTGGTGGGTGGCACCTATTTATACAGAGAAATACAATCACACCCAGTATAAAAAACACTAACTGGCGTGCAGGAAATGTAAAATTTTCTACGTCTAGGTATCCGCCAGTCATTAAAATATGTTTAAATGCAGTTGCAAGCAATTTTTTAAAAAAGATGTTTCATTTATTATATTTTTTTTAATGTATCTTTGTGCTCGCGTATTCTAATTTTTGCAGAGTCCGTAAAGTACTGGATGTCTGAAAATCTGTTCTAATGTTAAATTTGTTACCTATTCTCCATAATTTTTCCGTCAATACAGGAATATATTATGAATGTTATTTCCCTTTGTTGTCTTACATATTTTTTTTCCTTTCAAAATTCTCAAAAATTTGGAAAACTGTTGATAAAAGTAATTTTTCAGATATAAAACCCCAAAACATACTTTTTTCTTACTGTGCGTAGAATGCGCGCGTAAAAGTTACTTTCTCACACTAGCGCGTAAAATAAGTACACTAGTGTAAATTCTTAATTAATTTATGTCGCGTTGACAGTATTGGCAGATGTACCAGTATCGTATATGCAGGAGATTTATATGACAGCAAAATAAATAAAGTAAGACTTACCTTTTTAGCTTTTTGTTGCGCTTGAATTAACTGCGCTTGGAAACCTGACGCTGGTGCTGATCTTCTTCGGTTTTGTTCCGTATTCGACAGTGACTCTTTAAATCCTAACTCATCTCCAACACTAAACCCTAAAAAAGTGAATTTTCAATGATATCTTCTCTCAATGATATGTCATAGGTTGAAACGTGTTTTGGTAAGAATTTTTAAATTTGAAATCACCATTTTTACCAGATCCGAGGTATATTGATTATTTAATTTCAACAATTAATGCCTTCAGATCCTTCAATGTTATCACCTCTTTATTTTTTAGATATTTCTAAATTTTAAAATGTCTCCTATTTCATTATTTTTATTTTTTGTTACAATTTTCAGTAACATGTTTCTTGAATATTTAAGTTTTAAGTAATACTTTCAATGTTGTTTGATATGACTTTCCATTGTGATATATAGCTCACAATTAATATTAACCATAGTAATATTTTCTTTTAATAAATAGGCAACTCTACTACAATCTCTTTGTGTCCGGGTAAAATTAATTAGTAGAGTGAAATAATAAAAAAATGAAAGGCATACTTTTATTCACAAAAAAATGTTATCTTAAGTTTTGTCTAACAAGTAATTTTTTTTTAAAGTACCAGCAAAGTGGGCGAAATATAATATATAATAAAAAAATCAATTGCTCTTTCGAATAACAGAATAACCTGTTAATTTGTCGCAAAATTTCAGTACTAGTACGTAAAATTTTTTACACTAGTGCGGCAGCCATCAAACTGACAATTATTCAGTAACAATTTATTGAAATTGTATTGTTAAACAAAGTGTATATGACTTCAATCTAAACGACTTGAAAATAAATCTAATTCAAATAGTACTTATTTAACTTGAAACTAAACCATTGGTAGTGCAGAGAAATAATCAACAATCATCTTACAGTCTTTATTTCATTTTAGGCACTAATGCGTAAAATGAAACACTTTAAGCACTAATGCGTAGAATGAAACACCTTGAGCACTAGAACGCAAAATGAAACGCTTGAAGAGCTAGTGCGTAAACTGAAACACTTTAAGTACTAATGCGTAGAATGAAACACCTTCATCACTGGTGCACAAATTGAAACATTCAGGAACTAGTGCGTAAAATGAAACATTTTAAGTACTAATGCGAAGAATGAAACACCTTAAGCACTAGAACGCAAAATGAAACGCTTCAAGAGCCAGTGCGTAAAAGAAACACTTTAAGTACTAATGCGTAGAATGAAACACCTTCATCACTGGTGCCCATGAAACGCTTCAAGAGCTAGTGCGTAAAATTAAACACTTTAAACATTAATGCGCAGAGTGAAACACCCTAAGCACAAGTGCGCAAAATGAAACGCTTCAATAGCTAGTGCGTAGAAAAAACACTTAATTAATGCGTAGAATAAAACACCTTCATCGCTTGTGCGTAAAATGAAACACTTTAAGCACTAACACGTAAAATAACGCGTAACTCGTGTTACTTTACAAACATTATGCCCAGTCGATTTCGACAATCAATGGAAGTCATGTAACAGGTGTCGTATAAGCTAATTTATTCTAAAGCTAACGCCAAAATCAAATTTTTTAGCAGTGTAAAAATCTTAACAATAAAGGAGTGTATTTCTTTGAAGTGTAGGTCACAGTGTAAATATCGCAACCTCCTTTACATTTAACATTCAAACAATTACTAAGCCCCCTTTCACTTGCAAGAAAAAATGTGTGTGCTTAAAAAGGAATAGTTAAATTAACGAAGATATTTCTTTTAGAAGAGCTAACTTATTTCAACATTAGGCATGTTTGATTTTCCAATGTCATCCACTTTTACAAATTTCATAACGAATTATTAGCAGCATCGTCTGTTGGGCAATGTATATGTCGTGGTGATTTTTTTGTAATTCCCAAACATTCAGTTGCTACACATATTAAATAACGGACTTTGCGCCCGTGAAAACGCTCGAGGGAATCGAGAAAAACGCCCCACTACAAGCGCCAAATGGAATGATCGCTGCGGTCATTGTGAAGGTGATTCTGCGAGTTGAGAGAACGTAATATCAGACGTTTTAAAAATCCTTCGGCTGTTCACAATCACTTACGTGTGTGATTATGGAAATATCACAATATTCCAAAGCCAGAAAAGAACAAAACAGAAACGGAAACATACTTCCAAAAATGTCCAGTTAAATTCGACCTCTACTTTAGAAGCTAATAATATCCGCAGGTTTTGGAACCTGAACAACAACGCTAAGGAAATTTACTAATCTTTCGATTTGAAATTGATTTGAAATGATAGGTTCCAAGGCAATTTACTCACTCAAACTACGGTCTAAATTTGATGAATGACTGATGAGTAATCAAACTTAGCACGCGCTAAGAAGTAGTTTATCTATGTCGTTGATTAAGCGGGTTAGTTTCTTTAAGTATATATTAGGCAACGCTTGGAAATAAATAGTATTCACCGTCTCGTTTTTGGTGCAAATTGGTAAATTACTGTCTCCTCGAGTGTGACGGTGTCGATTAACTGAATCTTAAAATTTAAAATGCAAATGACAGTAAGGAATACACAGTGTGTCAAAAAATATTCTATTCCCGTTAAAGAATAAATTTAAAAAGTCATTTTTGTGCAACTGATATCCAATGTAATTTTGTTTCACGCGTGAGAAAATGTGTTTTCACCTAAAAGTATATGTTATAAATTAAATTATAAACAATTTATTTTGCACACTAAAGCCAGTGTTTTGTTTTACGCATTTGTGCTTAAAATTAAATAAGACAGTAAGGTAATAAGTACGATTTGAATCGTAGCTAGTTATATAATGTCCATATTAAAGTCATACACATATTCTTCAATAAGTATCACTAGTGCGAAAAAAATAGACTACGTTCTGTACAACATGCGTACAATTTGTGTATTACTGAAAATAAAAAACACTAACATCCTGTAGTGCTCCATAAAGTTTCACATCGATCGAGCAGCTTATAATCGGCTTATTTTACATAACAAAAGAGATATTAAAAGCAATGTGACAAATGTTACTTCTGTTAGACGTCTAATATCTGAATTACATGACTTAACAAATCGTTTATGAAATATCAGGAATGTTAATAGATCTTTCGATATAGCAACGGAAACCGGTTTTGAAAAAGCTTATACTAGAAGCAATTGATCAGCGGGAAGAGATTGCAAGTGTTTATATCCTTCTTCCGGATCATACTGCAATTATTTTCAAATTAAGATGCAATCTTGAACCCGATTTAACTGGACAATACATAAAAATGCATTAGAATTATTTATGCAACAAATGTGTAAGTGACTTTAATCACAGTTTCATGAAACAATACAATGTACTCTACGAGCTTGTGCGTAAAGTACTTCATTTTACGCTTGTGCCTATAAAATATTTACATTACGCATCAAAAAATAAATACGCAGTTCCAAAAATAGTCAACAGTAAATATAATTAAAATAGTCCCAGTTCAATCATAACAATTATAGCTCGTCTCAAAAAAGTATCATCTGACATATTGTCTGTCTCGTTGTTTAAACAGCAATTTAATACTTACTTAATGATTTTCTTCAAATAATGTATTCGTTATATCTATCTCGTATAAATATGCCGTAACGTTTGTATGTTGCAACACAACTTTTACCTCAACATAGACATACAAGTTTGCGTGAGCACTTTTTTTTCAAGTGAATGGAAAATCGAGATTCATTACTCCAGTAATAGGTATAGGAAATATTAGCCACGACAACGAGGAAGGCAGTATACAAAAAGTATACCCATTGTTCTTATTATTTCAACCATTAATTTCAATTATTTACCCTTGTTAATTTATTGACAAAAGTGTCGACAATAAAGTAGTTTGTATTATGGTTTTCTGAGCAATATAGTTCCCTACATAATTAAAAACTTTTAGTGTGGTTCTATTATCTCTTGAATTGAAAGTTTTTAGACATTTAAATTCTCAGGATACAACACACTTATTAGCACAAAATCGTTGAGTCATATGTGTTAAAACCGAGTTACAAAATAGTGGTTACTGACATCTCAAATTTATTTGCGCTATTGCAAGGACATTTTATAAAATTAATAGTCAAAATTTTCGTAATTCACTTGTAAATGATTTGCATATCTAGTAAAATAACAAAAATAGAAAGCCAATGACATCTGTCTAACAAATTTGAGCAAAGAAATTGCATTAATGACATTTTCTCTAGTACATAAAAAATTGATGTTGAAATGTATGCACCAAGTGTTTGTGTACTTAAATCTAAGGTTAGAATTCTAAAATAATACAGACTAAAGAGGGAAGAACATTATTGTAAGACATTTTTAAAAGGAGGATTGAAAAAAGACATGATTAGTTTAAGTTAGTGAATTGATGATACTAAAATTAAAAGAGTGATATATATACATTTCTTTCATAAGGTAGTTTTTGATTGTTTGAACAGCATCCTTGATAATCACCAACATGTAAGAGAAGCTACTACAGAAAGATTTTACATGTTTCCTCAAAATGCATAAACAGAGATCTATTTCTCAAGCTACATTTAAGTAATGGTTTTGTCAACAGGAATAAAAGATATATTTTTAAAAGACTTTACTTTACATAATGATTCCAATTTGATTAAAAAGTTGAGCTATATTCATCCTAAAAACCGTTGCAATTCATTTTTTAAACAAAAAATAAAACATTTTAGCATCGAACTAAACTTACAGAAAGTGGTAATATTATACTCCAGTTAATAAACTATTAATGTTTCTACCCTTTTTAGTTATTAGGTCATGGTCATTTAAACTAAAATGAAGGTGTTAAATGGGTAACGAACAAACTAGCTACTTTACAACTACATGCGAAGGATGAGGTGAGATGAGGTCCTAGTAAAGGACACTTAAGCAAAGATAGATAGGATTTACCCAGGCCTATGTGAGCTTTCACACCACCAAGATTTCTAACTCGAAACAGCCCAGATTTCTTAAAAGCACAGTTGAGGATAAATCCGAAATCTGATTCCAACACGCAGGTCGGTTGGCCTGACCGCCACGTTCCGCCTGCAAGTAAAACTTATTTTAATGGGGAACGTACCATGCTGGATTACATACGCGTCAGTTAGTCCCGGAGGAGTGCTACTGCGTCCTGAAACTGTACTCAAACTTGTATGGGAAATATCAGGCTGGTTTCAAGGATGTCGATGATATCAACGGTAGAAGTGTTTTGAACTTTGTTACAAACAAAACAAAATCTGGTTAAAAGAAATATTAGTAACAAGGATATAATGTACAGGGTGATTACCTTACAAATAAATTGCATACGGCATATGACAAAAATATATTAAATAATTGATCAATTTATTGTAACATATAAAATTGTACCACAGTATAGCGAATTGTAACAATTCCTTGTCAGTGTCTTGTACAGTTTATCGAGTGACAAATTGCTAAATATTTCTCTTAATTTGATTGATTTTTATCCTAAAAGTTGATAGCTTTACGTTTTGCCAATGAACTGATCAATTTATTGTAACAGGGGATACTACAAATATAGTAAATTGAGACAATTTGACGATTCTTGTACAATTTATTGGGGAAAGTTGATAACTCTTAAACAGGTTTAAAAAGTTATTATATTTTATTTCGATTGATTTCTAATCTAAAATTTCGCAGCTTTACATTCAATCAATATACGATCAATTTATTCTAACATGTAAAATGGTCCCACAGATATAGCGAATTGTAACAATTTCCTGACAGTTTCTTGAACAATTTATTGAATACAAAATTGATAAATGTAAAATAGGTTTAAGTTTTACTATATTTTAATTTGATTGGTATTTATTCTAAAAACTGGTACCTTTACATATTGCCAACAAATTGATCAATTTTATGTAACGCCAATTGTAGCAATTCCTACAAAATAAATTTCTTGTAAAATTTATAGGGTGAAAAATTGATAAATGTAAAACGGGTTTCAGTGCTACTATATTTTATTTTGATTGATTTTTATTCTAAAAGTTGGTAATTTTACATATCGCCAATAAATTGATCAATATCTTGTAATATGTAAAATGGTATCAAAAATACAGCGAATTGTAGCAGTTTTTTGTACAGTTTATTGGGTCGATACAATAATTGATAAATGTAAAACAGGTCTAAGTATTACTAGATTTTATTCTGATCATTTTATTGTAACACATAAAATGGTACCACATATATGGCGAACTGTGACAATATCTTTTATACAACCAATTGGGATTGGTGAAAAATCTATAAATCTGAAAGTTTAAGTGTTCTTATATCCTATTTTGATTGATTTTTATTCTAAAAGTTGATAGGTTTATTGTAACATGTAGAATGGTACTACAAATATAGGAAACTGTAACAATTTCTTAACAATTTGAAAAACATGTTTAATTATTTTGATCGAATTTGGTAGTTACGTTTTGTCAATACACTGATCAATTTATTGTAACATGCAGAATGACACCACAAATATAACAAATTATTATAATTTCTTAACAGATTCTTATACAACTGTTTGGATGAAAATCTGATAAATGTAAAACAGGTTTAAATATACTATATTGTATTTTGGTTCATTCTTATTATAAAATGTAACGTTTTGCCAATAAATTGATTTTATTGTAACAGGTACACAAAAACATAGCGAATTTCTTAGCAGATTCTTGTACAATTAAATGGGTGAAAAATAGTTAAATGCTTTATTTTATTTTCATTTATTTTTATTCTAAAAGTTGAGAGTTTTATATTTCGCCAGTAAACTGATCAGTTTATTGTAACTAACTAACTGTGACAATTTCTCGTATAATTGGGTGGAAAATTGGTAAATTTAAATCTTGTGGATTGGTTTATAATATACTGATTCTGTCAGCGTATAGTATAAAATAGTTTTGGCATATATTCTGTAGTTTTTGAAACTCTGACTGAAATCTACACACAGGATGTTTTGGAAATAGTGTTACAACACTATGTTATATAGAATTCAAAGAAATACAAAGGAGAGTAGTACATGAGTTTTAAAATGCTTAGTTCACAATATACAGGGTGTTTTTTGAAGAAAGAATTAAATATAAAGTGGAAAAGACATTGCTTTGATAATGAAACAGAATAGTTTATAACAGAAAATAATGCATTAGAGACATTTCGACATTGATCCATTTGACTAGATTCTAATTTAATCAAACATGTATTTCATTAAGAATTCCGGTTAAATTAAAGTATCAATCAACATTATTTCCCGCAAAAACATAAGTAATACGTTTTTTTAAAGCGCACATTCTAGTTTCGCAACGTACTATGAACGAAATTGTATAGAATTTTCTATCTTTTAGGCGTTTAAAAGCCACTAATATTACGTATTAAATAAAAGCTGATATCACTTAAACATCATAAAATTTCTTTCTTACGACACTTTTATAAGAATATGATTTGCCAATCTCTAATAACGTTTTATAGAAATAAAAAATAATTTATTTAAACCATTAAATCCACCCACAGTTACTATATATTTTACCCAAATCTTAAATCAATGAAATAGTGGCAACAACTGCATAATTTTTGAAAAATTATTTCGTTAATATACCTACAGGGTGTTGTAACTTATATACAAGGAAACATCGATAATAAATAATTTAGAACTATTATGGCACCCCGTAGGTGATTATAGCATCACCTTTCACACTTCCTTTCTATCACTTTCGAACGTAATATTAAACATCGTATTATCTACAATTATTATTATAGGTATACGAAGATGTAATTAGCCATATTTTCTTAAAGCAACGAACTTCATACATTTCCTTGCTTCATTTCCTCTTCATCTACAACGCAATTTATAACATCTTTCCAAATGTGACTTTTTTAAAGTAAATAAAGTAAATTATATTATTCTTTCATTATTTAATTGACTGCCATGTCATATCTTGATACGTACGTACTACTAATTTTATTGCAGATTGATAAAAATAATGATATACCGCACCTCTCTCGCACTAGTTTAAAATAACTCTTGTAATTAGCGCTTGAAAAAATAGAATCATAAATAAATAAAATCCAGAAAGGAAACATTTTAATTTCTATTCTCTTATTTTAACATTATTATTTTTTTCATTTCAAATAATAATATCTTTTACTTCACATAAAGCAGAACTATTAAAGCACATTCTGTACGCCAATATTGACACAATTCTTTAAAAATGTCAGGCTGTTAACATTAGTAGATTTCAATGAATAAAAAACGCTTCAGAAGAAATTACTAGAAATAAAAATTCGATTAATACTAATTTTATAAATAAAAAAAAACAATTGCACCCACTTGTGGATATTATACATTACTATACAATACAAAATATCAAAATGAAGAATTATTAACTTAACATTTAATTTAAAATTTACGTACACCATAGCAAAGAAGTAAGAAAAGAAAGTTTTTACCTAATCTCAATATAAATTACAGCAATTAATTACACTTTAAACCGCCGATGAGCTAATAGCAGGAGCATCGATAGGAAACAAATGAAAAATTCATAAATTTATTGGTTGATCAAGACAGAATTGTAAATAGTTAAGCAGAAGCTAAACTACGTATTTTAAAATGGTGTCTGTTCGAAAACACATTTTTTTAATAAAGGAGTACATTCTGCCCATCCGCACGCTACTGAGGCATTAAATATTATAAATATTAATATGTATTAATTTTGATGTATATTATATTGTTCAAATACTTTCAAGTAATTAGTAAAGAATAAATTTCGATACAGCAAAGTGCGAGGTAAGGTATGTATAGTCTTTCCGATATCAATTGAAGAACTAAGAGGATTATAGTATGTACCAGGTACGCAGCAACTCGGCATTGAAATATTTAAAAAACTTGTTCCCATATTTATTTGACCATATCCATATACAGGTATGGTCGAACTAAACGTGTTCAACCCAGTTGAAGAATGCGAGCGCGGACAAACGAAATACAAATACAGTTGCATTGGACTACTGGGCAATAAATCTCAGCCGTTGTCAAGTGGTCGACAAATTGCCCAGCAGTGCAGTGCAGCAATGCGGAATTTGGTGTGATTCAGGTAATTTTAATTTATTATAGGCACCTTCTATTAATCATTGATATTATTACAACAAGACTATAACTGTATATACTAGTAAATAAAATGTAGGTACCGATATCTCCGTTATATCAAATATTAAAACCAATCACAACTTTCTTCGACTACAGCATAATTTTAAGTTCTTTCAAATACTGTCTCCGTTTATGTAAAATACTATAAGCGTAACACTAAAAATGCTTAACCTGAATACGTGATGGTTAATCATCCGGAGAAAGTTGAATTGATGACAAATACCAGATTTTTTATAAAAGCTTTTCGTTCATCGATAGCATCGTTTACTATCGAAATATAACAATAATTTTTAAATTAGCATATATATGATGCCCAACTTTTAGCACTTTTAAAATAATAATAATACGGGGTGTTTTGCAAAAAGGTGCTATCAATTTTGGGACTGATACATTTCCCAAAAAACAGTGTAATGAGTGCTATAGTTGAAACGCTCCAGTTTTGAGAAAAACCCTTTACCAAAGCCAACCAGTCTCTACTCAGTACTATACAGGGTGTCCCTACTGCGTTTTTATCAAAAAACCTTGCGTTTTTACCGATTTTAATAAGACTGCAATTTTTATGTAAAATTACATTGTGCATTATAATAAACAATATACAGCGTAAAAACCTAACCTTAATATATCACAAAATGTCAAAGTCAAGGTCGCAGCTAGCGCCCTCTAGCCCATGGTAAAAAATTTACAATAACGCATTTAATATCATTAAAAACTTACCTGTACTAAATTCCAATGCATTGTACTATTTTTTGAAAACTATGTGACTAAAATTTGATTTAAAACATTTTTATAACACTCTGTATCTCAAAAATAAGATAATAAGTTCATGGTACATAGGAATAAAACTTATTTTATGAAGTTCTATCAATTCCTGAATTTATGGCATCCTTTTCCAAAACGCCCTGTATGT